GTGTGCAACAATCTTGAAATTTTATTTGAAGTGATAGAGGTTAGAGAGAGAGGGTAATAACAAAATAAATTGTAAATGAGAACTAAAAATATTATTTGTTGTCTTTCCAATGGGAAGTGCATGTAAAGGTAATGATGCCCTAAACAACAGGAAAACTTTTCACGTCATCTTATCAAAATCTATCAACCCATACTTCTACTTCTCACGTTTATCCTCTTTCTATAGACTATCATCACTACTTTTGGCCTACCATTTTCTATTTTACACTCATAAACTTTATTTTGAGCACACGGTTTTATGTTCATGATGATATATGTTAGTCGTTAATAATGACTATTTGTTTTTCGTTAGAAAATGAATTTCTTTCCATATATCAATATTTCCATATATCAATATTTATTTGTTATATTTTAAAAGACGGTTTGCGCATAGATTAAAAATTATTTAATTTGTTACATTTTTAAACGAAAACATTATTCATTATCTATTTAAAAGAATTGAACCAGTAATAAAACAAACAACAAAATATCAATGGTCACAGATACTATATAATATCATTTAATTTGATATGGATTACATATTTTTTTCTTGACATGTATGTTACATTCAAGATTTTTGTTTTTTTCTTTGAAACTGCTTTCATCATTGACGTCATCTTTGAAGATTTATCCTTTGGTATGTTGTATATTTATGTTATACAACATCTTTGAAGATATATCATAAATTTTTATTTTGACACCTTATATAAATGTTTAGGTATGTTGTGTATTCTAAAATTGAGTCAGAAGTTGTTTAAGATGATAAGGGTAAAATAAATTAACAAAAGTAAAAAAATAGATTCAAATACCTTATGTATTATGTACACGTCGTCAAATCGAGTCCAGAGAGCAAATCACAAAAGTAGATACCTAACAGTTCAAAATAAAAGTCAAATATATCAAATGACTTTAGCTAAGAATGTGAAACATCATTGGAAAGAAAAGAAGCAAAGACAATTTTTTTGATTTTTTCTTTGCACTGTCTCTCTCTCTGGCTGCCTCTGAATTTTGGTTTTATTTTCCATGCAAAAAGTAATTTGATTTTTATCGTACATTTAATAAACAAAGAGATTCATCACAAATATAAGACAAAATAGAACCTAAAAAGACGAGACAGAAGGAACATAGATACCATAACAATATTATAAATTATACTGATTTACCTTTTTTTTTAAATATATATTTTTTTTTGTGTGTTTCTGTCTCCTCGTAATAAATGCCATCATTTCTTCTTTTTGCTTTTTGCTATGTCATTCTGTTGCTTCCCTTTGATTTTTCAGTCGCTTAGGGTTTCTTCAGAACATTTAATTTTATTCAAAACAAGAAAAAAAAAAATGTAACTGCTATTTTTCTCATTATCTCGTTCAATTGTTAGATCAAATCGACTCCTATTAAATGAAATATTATTGTCAGTACAATGTTTTAATTGTCATTAAATTGAAAAAGAATCTTTGGAGAAAAATGAATGAATTTTACCGAAAATAATTGCAGTGCAACAACAATGTGTATTACAGTATTAGTACTTCTTATTTCGGCCGACGAGTAACGAGTTGATTTGAAGCAATGTTTACTGGAATAGCTTTTGAGACATGGATCAATCCGGTTCAACCGTGTCTAACTGGATTCACATATTAATTATATATATATATGGTAATACGTTTAATAGATTCTTAATCAAAATATACATATAGCATCAATGTGACAGCGTATCATATATTATTTATTCTATTTCCACAAACAATATATGTCTATCTTATTTACGACAATATATGTCTATCTAATCAAAAAGACACAGTTATTAAATATTAATTAAAATTATTTGTACAGTACACGTTTACCCTAAAAATCATTACTCCACTTCTCTTCTTTTCAATTTTCTCTCAAAACTGCCGCTGACCGTCTTTCATCTCTTTCTTTTTCTTAGTTCAGATCTTAATATTTTGTATTTTTCATATGTTTTTCTGATTCTTAAATCAGATTGACAAACACTTTAATGGAGATCCAAACAAATTATTGCAGATTAACAAAATCAAAAGGATTTGCAAAAAAAAACCAATGGCAACAAACTCTCGTAATATAAAAACCGGGTTTTTTGTCCTTGGCGGTTCGTACCGGTTTTCCAGTTTTTATCTGGGTTTGCCGGTTTTATTTACATCCGGTTTTTTGTCATGACCCAAACCGGAAAACCTTCTGGTTTGCAGTCAAATCGGTTCAACCAATCCATCCAGTCCGATTTTGAAAACATTGATTGAAGCAATCCGTATGTAACTAAAATGGAGTTTTTTTATCTAATTTGGCGGAGTGTTGTTTACAAATGAAAAATAAAAACCTCTAATACATGCAGAACGGACTAAACAGTCCGCCTTTCAAAAAATAGAGTTTAGAAATCAACAAATTTCATCTTGAATAATTTACCAATCCAAAAAATAAATTAAAAAATCTAACAGTTTCATTATAGAGAAGAGAGATGAACTCTATTTTTTCCTCTACAAAAATAAGGGTTCGCCCTAGCCGCCGCTCCTCCTCCAGCTTCGCTTGGCCTCTCCGGCGTTCGGTATCGCTGGCGCTATGAGAGACCCCTCGCCTCCATTCTTTTGCGGCCTACGAAGCTTCATCTGCAGTGGTGGCTCTTCTCGAAAAAAACTGGTGGTGGCCATTCTCTTTCTCCGGCAAAGATGCATGGTGGCTTTGATTTCTTCTAGCTTCGTCCGCTTTGCTCCAGTTGGGATCTTCGACGGATCTTCATCGACGGGATCTACGAGACTCTCTGGCTTGGAGCACATGCGTTGGATTTTCGAGGCTGTAGATCTAGTCGCGGTTGGGTTTGTTTTTGCGTTAGAGTGGTGAATCTGACGGTTCTTATGTGGTGAAGCGGTGAGTGGCTTCGTGGTTGCAGTTGCTTCGGATTTCTCCTTTCTACAGTGGATCTGCTTTTAGGATGGCAGATTTCGCCAGAGTCTAGAGTTTTCCCAGAGCTCCGGCTGCTTAGAGGCCAATCCTACCTCTTCCGTTCCTCTTGCTTGATATCTTTGGGTAAAGCTCTCTCTCGTCTCTTCGGTCCTTCGTTATCATTGTCCTTGCTGGTTTGGCGTTATGGTTATAGTTCCTAGTCAAGATCCTTGGTTCGGTTCTGTCCTGCCTCGTCAGATCTCTTTTTCTTTAGTTGTTGGTGTTGTTTGGTCGTATCTCTCATGTCTTGTTTGGAAGTCTAGTGGTTTTGGTCTGTTGGCCCTTCTCTCCGTCATATTAGTTTTTCGACTTGATCTTTATGGGTTGGTTGGTTGAGTATGGATCGAGATCCACCGGTTGTTTTGCCATCAGTCTACCAGAGGACATACGTCAAACGTTCGCCGTCTAAGCCGGTCCGTCCGTCGGAGTTCAGTGCGTCGGTAGGCCCTAATCTCCGAGCCCATTCGGAGATTGTAAGGCTAGGCCCACTACTAGGTAGTGATGTAAAACCCATTARAAATTCAAAAAATTAGCTAATGAAAAGTTAA